TCCTTCGGCGCTGAAGAACGTGGGTGGCGTCAGCGGGCGCCGACTTGCACGAGGTAGCGGAGAGGGGCACAACGTCGCACATCGCAGTCCTGCGCTTGGAGAAAGTGTCCACGATGAACACCACCTGCGCAAGCAGGTGGAGAGAGATCTATATATATATATATACATACATATACATTTACATGCATCTACATATATGTACAGATACATTTACATGCACATATATATATATATATAGGGAGAGGGCGCGCGCGCGCGTGCGCGCGAGAGAGCAGGGGGGGGGAGAGAGAGAGAGAGAGAGAGAGAGAGAGAGAGAGAGAGAGAGAGAGAGAGAGAGAGAGAGAGAGAGAGAGAGAGAGAGAGAGAGAGAGACAGAGAGAGAGAAAGAAAGAGAGAAAGAAAGAGAGCAAACAAAACAAGGGAACTCTCGGTTCTGCGTGACACCCGGGGGCGCCTCGTCGCCGCGGCGTGCGATGAGCCCAGCCGCGGGCGACAGCCGGGCTTCCCGCGGAATAGGGGGCGGCGCTGGGCCCAGCAGTCTGATCGCCCGCACGCAGCGAAGCATGGGCAGGGCGCGACCAGCAGCGAGGCGCGCAGCCCACTTGTCTTCCTGAGCGGTAGCAGCGGTCAAGGCAGCAGCAGCGGCCAGGGCAGCGGCAGCGGCCATGACAGCGGCAGCGGCCAGGGCAGGGGACGAGGAAAGGGGAAGGGGCGGGGCCAGCAGCGAGGCGCGCAGCCCACTTGTCTTCCTGAGCGATAGCAGCGATCAAGACAGCGGCAGCGGGCAGGGCAGCGGCAGCGGCCATGACAGCGGCAGCGGCCAGGGCAGGGCACGAGGAAAGGGGAAGGGGCGGGGGAGGAGGTTGGAGAATCGGGCACGAGGAAAGGGGAAGGGGCGGGGGAGGAGGTTGGAGAATCGGCGGCGATTTGGCCCCGCCGTGCCCGTCCTCGGCGCCGTCTCCAGTGGGGCCAGCACCGCGGCGAGAATCGCTGATGGACGTCCGCGCCGGCAGTGTGGCTGGAAGACACGCCGGCGCCGACTCCTGCAGGCGCGCTCTCTTCGGCGCCAGGCTAGCCGGGCGGACGTTCCGGGGGTCGCCGAGATCACGACAAACGCGCTTGCGCGTGTTGTGGAAACAACGCCAAGCGGGAAGCTGTCCCTGCGGCAATCGCGCGGCCGGCGACGTTGCAGGAAAAGGCCCCATGCCAGCCGCCTTGAGAAGGGCCTGGGGAAGGCAGATAAACGAAGCTGTCTCTGCGGCAATCGCCCGGCCGGCGACGTTGCAGGAAAAGGCCCCATGCTAGCCGCCTTGAGAAGGGTCTGGGGAAGGCAGATAAACGACGGCGACGGCGATGGCGGCGACGGCGGCGACGGCGACGGCGGCGGCGAGCGTAACTCTCCGCTCTCCCAAAAACCCAGGGTCGCGACGATTCCCAAAACACCTCGGAACCGTTCAGCGAGCCGGCGAGCCAGCGGGCCCGCAGCGCCCCTGGATGGAGGGAGGATTAACCGCCGCGCGGCGGAGAAGATCTAGGCCGCATTCTCCACCAGAGACCCTCCTCGCATGGTCTCCTGCGTCTGACTGGGATTCCCGCGGCGTGGGCGAGCCCACCCCTCAACCCCGAGCCCCCCGCTGCAGCGAGAGCACAGGGGCGCAACTCGGGGCAGCCCCGGACGCCGCGCGATTGAATCTTCGGCAGATGGGGCAACTTAAAGGGTCCACCCCTCCCTACCCAGAGCACCCAGCGCCGACGACACTGGCGGAGGGTCACGAGGATCCCCGGGCCCCCCCGGGTCCGTCCACAACGGCGATGGTGAACCTGGGCCAGATTGATTCATTGATTCCTCACCAGAGATCCTCCAGGTCCGTCCAGGCCCCGGCCCCCCGTCCTCGTTTTCCCAACCAGGGGAACTCCCGCCAGTCGCCCTCCCACTCGCCCTATAGAGCCCGTGGGTCTCGGAGATTCCCGGGACCGCCCAAGGCGGAATTGTCTCAGGCGAGAACAGATGGGGGCGATTGCACGACGAGGACAACAACGTGACGGCGACGGCCCTGCGACGGCGACTATGCCGATTACGACGGCCGCGGTGACAGCGGCGATGGCGATGACGACGGCAACCGCGACGAAGACGGCGACGGCGGTTGCGACGGCGACGGTCCTGCGACGGCGACTATGCCGACGACGATGGCCGCGATGACAATGCAGCACTCGATAACAGCAAATAATTGCAAAAAGAACAGATATAAGGCTGATGGATCAAATACATGCAGATCAAGCCAAACTACAACACATGCAGAAGTGGACAGAAACGACGGTTTTCAATGATACGAGGAAGGAGAAAGGAGAGACAGGCAAAGATGCGCTTCGACTGTGCCCGCGGCCCCCCGCGGGGCAACCCCGGGCGCGGACCTCTCAACTATCCGCTCCTCACGAGCCAGTGCCCCCACTCACGGGCGCAACGCCTACGCACTCTACACTGGGAGGAGGTCACACGCAAAATCACGTGCCACTGCAACATATGTGAATGAAAGGATATAAGAGAGCCAGGGCGTAACTCGAGGCAACCCCGGAAGCGCTCCATCTCCCTCGGACGATGCATGGTGCTGATTATGAGCTAATGGAGCGCGAGTGCGCAGTGGCACCGCGGCTGCCGCTGGCATGGCGCGAGAGCTACGCATCAACGCGCACCCTGAATATGACCCTGCGCGAGTGTGTTTATTTTTGCGGTGTCTTTTGTGGTTCCCTGGTGAATCTCGTGGGGCCTTCTTGGATTTCCTTGGCGGCTCCTCGGGTATTCGGTTCGGAAAGTCTCGGGGGCTCCCTTATGAAGGGCTCCGAGGGCTTCGACAGGATCCCAGGAAGATCTTGACACTTCGCGCCCTCCGTTCTGAAATAACCCCCGAGACCGCCAGCAGGCCCCCAAGAGGCCCCACCAGCAGCCGCAGGAGCCCCCCAGAAGCCCGAGAGGTCCCCAAGAGGACCCGAAGAGACTCCAAGACAACCCCAATACCTCCTCCAAGAGCCTTCCAGGAAGCCTCCCAAAAGAGCCCCACGCAGTGGCGGGATGGGCCGAAGGCCACTAGAGCCGCCGCCCCCTGTTACACGGGGATTTGGCGTGCCGATTCTGTTACTGTTTGGGGCCTTTTTTGCGAACACTTCACCCTTCGGCCCAACCCCGCCGGCCCAACGTCGTGCCACATAGGCGTCTCTAATAAGGCAGGCGGCGATGGTGGTTCGCCGCAGACGTCTTCTATAAATTTCGACTGAGGAGATAGCGCTGTGTATCAGCAGGCAACGAGTTGGGTAGAAATTGGTCGTACAGTCCTCTTGATTATGGCTAAGGCTCTTCCTTCTTGGTCGTATCTCCGCAGACGGACAACAGCATGCTTTTCGGTTCATAGCTAATCGAAGTCAATTTCCCTTTGTTATCACCCCGCTTGTCCTGCACCTTCAAAATGCCACGGAACTTCTGGCCTAAGATATCCCTGCCCTCGCCTTCTGGCTTCGGAAACGAGCCGAATAGCCACATCTCGATGTCTCCTGCTCCGATTTTGCGCAGACATTCGTTCCACATGTCGGGGAATGATTCCTTGCCCTTGTCTCCTTTCTCAAATGTCGCCTCGTTATCGTACTGCCATCTCTCTAAATGGCAAAGCATCCCTGCACCCGTGTCCCTCCGATGCATAACTACCGCAACGCAAGAACCAAACTCCTCTGAGTACACCCGCTTGTCTTCACTGGAGAAAATATACATCTCACCGACCCCCACGTTGATGTCACCGCTCGCTTTGACATTGGTCGGCGTGGGCGTCAGGGAAGGGGAGGCGGCCGCCATTGAGAGCGCACGGAGCCCACCCAACAGTGGATCGCAATGGTTTGAGCCAAAGCCGCCCGAGCCGGAAAGGCTACGGACTCTCCGGGTTCAGCGCGCGCGGCCCCACGTTGTCCTCGTGCCCACGACCCCCGCCCCCCCCTGCGGCCCCCTCCCCCCCTCCCTCGTGCTCCTCCCCCGCGCAGCCCTCCTCTGGGAGGAGGCCCAGGGCTCGGGGCTCGTTGGCTGCTCCTGGAGCTCGGGGGCCTCAGGAGCCCCGTTGCCGTGTCTCTGCGCGCTCGACTCACGTCCACGCTCAGGGACCTCCCCCTCCAGCGAGCAGCAGGAGGAGGAATGGGATCTCGCACCTCGAGCAGCAGGAGCAGGACCAGTGCCACTCAGTGCGCTGGCCGACCGCTGCTGGCTGTTCAAATCGCTGCAGCTGCTGCAGCGCAAGGGAACCGCCAGATCCCCGGACGGTCGGTGGCTCGCCCTGGCGAGGCGTCGCGTAGGTCTGAGAGATCTCCAATATATGCAAGAGTGTGCCTCTTTGTGGGTGTTTTTGGGATCGATTGTGGGCCTTCATTGGGCCTTCTTGGATTCCTGGTGAGCTCTTTGGGGATTCGGAAAATCTCGGGAATTCTCTGAAACAGGTTCCAGGGAGCTCCGGAAGGGAACCCAGCAGGTCTCTGTGTAGGCATCCTTAGAGATACAAAGTAAATGCACCCTTGCGGCTCTTTTTGGGCGCTTTTGGGATCCACTGGGGGCCCCTGGAGATTACAGAGCCCTCTAATGATCTCCTGGGGCCTTAAGAAGCCCCAAGAGGCTCCCAAGAAACCTCAGGAGGCTCCCAAAAATCCCCAAGAGGCTTCTAGAAGACTCTCGACAGGCCCGATGTTGGCCTCAACAGGCCCCAAGAGGATTCCAATAAACCCCAAAAATCGCCCAAGAGGCGCTCAGAAGTACCAGCCATCCACGAGATTCTAATCAGGATTCATGAGGTTCTGACCCACCACCCGCGCACGATTGGCCGAAGATCTGTACAATGAAAGCAAATAAATGAACAATTGTTCAAATAAACGCACGTAAATGCGGAAAGGATGCGGGGAGGCGAGGCAGCGCAACTCGGGGCAGCCCCGGGAGCGCGAGGAAGGAGAAACTGCAGGAGGAGACGCGGTGCGAACGCTCAGTGGCTGAGCGCGCGCGCGGCGGCACTGGGCGGCTCATGGTCCGAGGAATCTTCGGACGACGGCTCCAGGTCGACAACCATGCGCTTCGGGGGGGGGCCTCTTGTCCACCGCTGGGATCTCGGGAAGCTGGGGGCGCGCCGCCGCGGCATCCTCAGTGGCAACCGCTGCCTCCGTGTCGGAGCCGCCGTCGTCGTAGGCGCGGTTCGCCTTGCTCTTCGCCTCCTGCTGCAGGCTCTCCTCGTCGTTGGCGTCCATCTTTTGGACATCTTTCGACAGGTTCCACCGGAGCTTGCGCAAGCGCTTCTTCTCGGAGACGAGCATCTTCGAATCTCCTTCCTTCTGGAAGAGGTTATCTGGCGGGTCGTGCCAGCCCCGAGCCACTTGCGCGTACAGCCAGTCCCAATCCCACGCGGGGAGACTTTCCCACTCGATTCCGTCAGCCAACACCCAGTGCCCCCTCCACTTCTGGTCGTCCTCCTTGTACGGCTTCACCACCGACCCCATAGCGAGAGGCTCGACCGTGGGCAGGTGCTTGTGGACGTCGATGGGGCGCATCTCGCTGACGTCCATCTGCTTGGCCAGGATCGCCTCCCGGCACAGCGTCTTGAGGTCTTTGATGTCGTACTGCGGGTGGACGGCCACGAAGTGCCAGGCTTGTTGGGGGACGGCGTCGAAGTCGATCCATTCGACCAAGACGCTCCCCTTCCCAGGCGTGTACTTCGTCCCACAATGGCAGTACCACGCTTGGCCAACTCCTTCCTGCTCGATCTCCTGATTGATCGTGAGCAATTGCGCCCACCTGTCAGTCCGGATCGCAGCCTTGCACCGCGCGTGCTGTTTTTTCTCCATGTCGTAGTCCGTCTTGCCGCCGCAACAGTAATATGCGTTGAGCCCCGGCACCGCTCCCCAATCAGCACCGCTGGCACTCATGTTGCCGGGCTCGAGCCTGCGCAGCCTGAAGAGAAGAGGAAGACGGATAATGGGAAAGGGATAACGAAGCGGCAGAGAAGGAGGAGATGTGGATCTGGCAATCGGCGTCCATCAGGAGGACGAGGAGGAGGAGGAGGAGGAGGAGGAGAACGCCCCTTTCAGATTCTCTTGAGGCCTGCGAAGTTCCTTGGAGGTCATCTGAGATTTCTGCAGGTCTCTGAGGGCACACGCATCCAAAGTTCTTGGAAATCCTACTTTCTATTGTCGTATGTTTTCTTGCTGTCTTCGTCGCCATCGCCGTTTTCGTCGCTGTCCCTGTCGTCGTCGTCGCCCCAGGCGCCTTCGCCCCGTCGGCGCGAGGGCGTTGCCCGATCGACTCGCGACCGCTGGGGGTCGCCTCCGTGGGGCCTGAGGTGTTTAGCAGGGTAACTACAACATAAGACGATTCGACATAGCGCGACATGGTTCAACATAACGTCGTCGTCGTCCTCGTCGTCTGGGCTTGCATCGTCAACGACAGCGTCGTCGTCGGCCATGTTATCGCTCCCGTTGTCATCCGGCTTGTATCGTCAACGACAGCGTCATCGTCGGCCATGTTATCGCTCCCGTTGTCATCCATGAGGGCATACATCCGGATACCTCGCCTGAAAGCTCTCTCTTTCTTGTGGTCTTCGCGCCATATCCCCCTCCTCCTCCTCCTCTTTCTCCTCCTCCTCCTTCTCCTCCTCCTCCTCCTCATCCCAATCCTCCTCCATTTCCTCCTCCTCCTCCTGCCTGCTCCTCCATCACCTCATGATCTTCATCTTGTTCTCACTCTTCAATCAGGGCACAATATAAAGGGGGCCAACCCTCTCTACCCCGCGCGCCCTGCCGCTGCGAGAGCACAGCGGCGCAGCTCGGGGCAGCCCCGGAAGCGCCCGCGAGGTGCGCGCAGACGCCGCGCGGCAGAAAAGGCAATTTCGGCAAAGGGCCGTAACCAGATGGGGCCACTCCCCCTTACCCCGAAACCTCTGCTGCTACGAGGGATAACGATTGCGAAGATGGATGCGCCGAGCGCGCTAGCGGCGATGATGAAGATGAGATTGATGAAATTTCGAATGCGAAGATGGCCGGCACGACGGGGTCGATGGTGCACGGCGTATCTGCGACATCTGTCTGAATTCACGGCGGGGAACCCGCTCTGCGCACATGTATGCAAATAAATTTCCTGGGTGAAAATTAATATGAATGCGGCACGCGCAAAATCACGTGCCAGTGCAACATATGTAAATGAAAGGATATAAGAGGGCCAGGGCGTAACTCGGGGCAACCCCGGAAGCGCTCCTTCTCCCTCGGACGATGCACAGAGAGAGAGAGGGAGGGAGGGAGAGAGAGAGAGAGAGAGAGAGAGAGAGAGAGAGAGAGAGAGAGAGAGAGAGCAGCTCAATGCATGGCGCTGATTATGAGCTAATGGAGCGCGAGTGCGCAGGGGCACCGCGGCTTCCGCTGGCATGGCGCGAGAGCTACGCATCAACGCGCACCCTGAATATGACCCTGCGCGAGTGTGTTTCTTTTTGCGGTGTTTTTTGTGGTTCCCTGCTGAATCACGTGGGGCCTTCTTGGATTTCCTTGGCGGCTCCTCGGGCATTCGGTTCGGAAAGTCTCGGGAGCTCCCTTTAGCAAGGCTCCGGGGGCTCCGACAGGATCCCAGGAAGGTCTGAGAGATCTCCAAGAGAGCCCCCCCAAAGAGGCACAAAGTATATGCAAGAGTGTACCTCTTTTTGGATGCGTTAGGCCTTCTTGGATTCCTGGTGAGCTCTTTGGGGGTTCGGAAAATCTCGGGAACTCTCTGAAACAGGTTCCAGGGGGCTCCGAAAGGGACCCAGCAGGGCTCCTTGAGGGCACCCTCAGAGATACAAAGTATATGCGCCTGTGTGACTCTTTTCGGGTGCCTTTTGGGATCCACTGGGGGTCCCTGGAGATTAGCGAGCCCTCTAATAATCTCCTGTGGCCTCAAGAACCCCCAAAAGGCGCCCAAGAAACCTCAAGAGACTCCCACAAACCCCCAAGAGGCTCCCAGAAAACTCCCAACAGGCCCGATACTGACCTCAAGAGGCCCCAAGAGGATTCCATTAAATCCCAAAAGACGCCCAAGAGGCGCTCAGAAATATCAGCCATCCACGAGATCCCAACCATCCATGAGGTTCTGATGCGCAGAGGTCGGCTGACGGCCAGAATGCGCCCGGGTCCAAGGCGCCCCCTCATCACTCAAATTCGCTCGTGTTGACTCGCAAGCGCTTGCGCTCCTCCGTGGCGTCGGCGTCCGCCAAGATGGCCTCGAGCTTGCGCTTCTTGAACGTGCCCTCGCCCTTGGGGTTGACCGTGCGCTTGCCTCGAGGGCGCACTGAACCCCCGTCGCCCGTCGAGAGCCCGGGCGCTCGGTCTGCATGTGACTCGGGCTCTCCCGCCAAGGGCCCGTGGAAATTTGCAGGGCGACTGCGGGCGACTGGGCCCACTGCCGAGAATTCATGCCCGGGCCCACCCAACCAGGAATGAAGAAGGGAAAGCGAACGGGGCCACCCCTGTCTACCCCGAGCCCCCGGGCGCGGCAGTGCCAATTCGCTAGAAAACAACGCTCAGGCCGCCTGGCGCCGCCTCGGCCCTCGAGGTGGACTCCCCCGCGTCGGCGACACCAGCGACCCTGTCGACGAGATGCGCCGCGACCAGCGCCGCCAGGCCGTCGGATATCTTCTGGGCCAGGTCCGTCCTGTACCACGAATCCCTCTTGTTTCGGAGCCACTGCCTCGCGTCCGCCGCCGTGAAAGTCTGCCCCTTGGGGGCGCGGATGAGCAAAAATTGCCGCGTCAGCTCGGACGGCGTGAGACCCTTCACCGCGGCCTCCGCGACGTCGGGAGCTGCCAGAACGGCCGCCGAACATCCGCCAACGCCCCTGCAGTCGGCACCAGAGCGATGATTGCCCTCGGCGGCTGCGGCCTTCTGGGCTGCGTGGAAACGGTACAACCCGAAATGAAGGTCAATTTGGCGCAGCACCTTGTGGAGGCCCATCGCGACGTCGTCGACACTGGGGAGGCGACGCCAGCGAGCGGCATCGAGGGGCGGAAGCGGCGCCAGGGCGCCGCCGCCGCCCTGGGCGGCATGCTGGGCGATGTAGTCCCTGGCGAACTGGGCCCCGCGGTGCACCCGGTGCGTTCCGCGAAGCAAATCGCTGTGTAAGAAATTCAACTTCGCCTTGAACACCTGTGGCATCGGCACGGTCTGACAGATGTCATCCAGAGCCTGCTTCGCAGCACGGTATATGGTGTAGGCGTAGCCGTCGAGCGAGAGTGCGCTGGCGATAACGGAACAATGCGCGTGCATCCATCCGTGCAGCCGCTCGATGAATGAGTCGCTCTGTTCGAAATCGACCCCGTCGTCTGCGCGCACGTCCTGGAGGGCCCCGCCAAGACCCGCTGCACTCGGAAACAGCCCCGAGAGTCGGGCACGACCAAGATGAGGCCAGAAGAAGCGGGCCAAAAAGAAGCGAACTTGAGAACTCAGGCCGAATATGGGCCAGAAGATGTTAACTTGAGGAGTGAGGCCGAGTGTTCGGCCGCGTGTTAGGGAGGATGGCGACATGTGATGGGCCCAGGGTTCACCCGCTGTCATGGAGGACCCACACCGTCTGCATGCGCTTCTGGAACCCGTGCACTATCGGCATGGCGATAAACTCGACGACCTCCGTCTGGCCCGAGCACTTGAGCATGAAATTGTAGTTGTCCAAAGACACCTTGCCGTTGCCGGTCGCCGGTCCGTCGTACTCGCTCTGCGTCCACGTGTTACGCTTCGCGCAGCTGAGATACTGCACCCCGGACTCCTGGTCGCTGAAGGGCGTCAGGAACGTGTTGGCGGCCTCGTCGCTGGAAATGCCGCACCGCCTGTGTTCTTCGAGTTGCTTCCGAATGCCCTCCGTGGTGCAGTCCGTGTTCGTGACCAACTTGTCTTTGAAAACAGGGGAGGCCTCCGGGACCTGCGTCAACCATTTATCCGTGCACTGCATCAAAGGTGACTTCCGCGTGGAGGACGCACTGCCAATCAAGAGGGGCTGGCCAGGGGAAATGTAATGGCCTGACGACGGCAAGTGCGTGAGCGTCGTTCCAGGCGCCTCGATAAAACCCATGTTGCACTCGACAGCGGCGAGCAGCGCTTCCGCGGACAGACCCCGGGCCTTGCCTGCGGCGTGGACGGCGTCCGCCAACGGCTTCGGCGCGATGGTGCGCAAATCGAAATCCAGCTCGCTGGCAATCTGGCGGTGGGACCGGGTGTCCTCCCACGCCCTCATGACCCTGTGGCGCACTCTCTCGTGCACCTCCTCCTTCGTTTTAAATCCCTCGAAGACGATGTCGGGGAACAAGAACTCTTCGATCGCTTTCGATGCCTCGTCCTCCGGGAGCTCTTCGACTATAGCCTGCAATGCGGCAAGACTCTCGCCCGTGGGGTCTGGGACGCGAGAGCTGGCACTCTCTGCAAGAGAATCCTCGAATCGCGCCCCATTCCTGAAGGAGGTGAACGACGCAGGCGACGTCTTCTCCGCAGAAACTGGCGACTCAGGCGGGAACTGAGAGGCGAGCTCGGGTCTCTTCCGAGGTCCGTCAACGATTGGACCTGGGCCGGCTGGTGAGCCCGCGGGGGAAGGGGGGCTCGGGGCAACCCCGGCACCGCCCCCCCCAGGTGCCGCCGACGCGCCGCCCAGCGCGAGCAGCAGAACGCCCCGGAAATGCAGGAGGACGAGGAGCGCGTGGAAGTAGCAGTCGCCCCCGTCGCGGACGCGCGACTCCAACGCGAGATCGCCGCTGCGACCAGCGACGGACGCCACCATGTCGGCCCACTTCGGTGACGGGCACGGGGGCAACTGGCCATGCTCGTCGACGTGAAGCAGCAGCAAGAAGTGACACCCATCCTCCGCGGACTCGTAATCGGTCTCCAACCCGCCGTGGACCAGGACACCGTCTTCCCTCGGGTCGGGAACGGTGAAATCTGAATCGCGGAAGTGGGCGGCAGACACGGACACGACTTGGGATGGCAGCGGCCGGGACCCAGTGGCCAACCGAGACTGGAGACAATCCCTCATGTCATCCCACGCCGCGGAATCGCCCCATACGACGGCGCGACGCGCCACGGCAGAACTGATCTCGGTGGCGCGAAGTGTCTCGTCGCCGCGGGCGTCGGCGAGGCACGCCCGCAGAGCGGCGATGCCCTGCTCCTGCGCCAACCCGCACAGGGCGACTTCGCGGAACATGGCGGTGGAGTCCATCTGCAACTGTCGAAACTCCTACCCGACGGGCCCCCCGGCGCGGGCAATCCTCGAACCAGGCGCTATCGCGCGGGACAACCACGGATGCCGCCGAGGGAAGGCAGCTAACTTGAGGGGTGGGTCCCGAGGAGGAGGCGGAGGAGGAGGGGGAGAGGAGGAGGGCAAGGGAGAGGAGAAGAAGGAGGAGGGAGAAGAAGGAGGAGGGAGAAGAAGGAGGGGAAGGGGAAGCTTAAAGCCGTCAGAAACCTATAGATGTATTTACACACACAAATGCCGCAACGCATTCAGATATGGCGCGTGGCGACCCTCACTCTGACCTCACATCGCGCTCTTCTTGGCGTCGATATAGTCGATGGCGTCCTGATGGCCCTTCGCGTTCTTCACGTCATTGGTGCCGTCTTTGTTCACGGACTGCTCTGCCATTCCTTTAAGTTGCACGCGTTTCCTTCTCGCTTCGTCGTACTTCTCCTTCGCCTGCTTCTTGTACTTCGCATCTTCGGGGCAAGCGGCGTATCCGGCCACCGCGTCGAACGCCCTCGTGGTCTTGTTCCACCTCTTGCCGGCCTGCTCCATGAGACCGTCGCCTGCCGCCTCCAGCTTGTGCGCCTCCTTGTTCGACATGCCACCCGCAGCGCCGCCCTCCCAGAGCCACGCCCTTGCGGAGCTGCGGGGGCAGTCCGAGCGCCCGGGCCCCGGCCTGCGACGGCCCGAGCCCAGATGGCCACAACGGACACGGAGGAACGGCGGCCCCCCCCTTGCCCGCCTCGGGCGGCGAGGGGGGGGCCATCCCCACGCGGCCCTGGCCCGCCAAGAGTGCGGGGAGGCCCACGGATCGCCCGCGACGCCTCCGCTGCCACCCCCCCAAAAAAAACACTGGGCCGACGTCGAGGAGTAGGGCGGCACCGAGGGCGGGAGCGGCATCGCCCGGAGGGGGAGGAGGAGGAGGCGAGGACAAGAATGACGACGGCGGGGACGACCTGCAGGGAGTCGAGGCCACGGGAGCTCTCGACCATGCGGCAGTCCAAGGGGCCGCTGACAGGCTGGAACAGTTGGACACAGAGGCCAAAAGGAAGCTTGTGGAGTGCCAAATCGAAACAACGATCACAACATCCTCCAACAAAGGCTCCAACTGCAATTCCAACAAGGGAGCTCCGGCGGGCCCAGGCGGGGTTGAATTCGAGGTTAACCGAGAGCATTTTGAGACCGACGACGAATCGTGATTGCTTTTTTATTTCCATTGTTTCTTCTGTATATCGTTGTGTGGATTATCACCTTCGGGGCGCTTTTAATAGGCAAATATGAGTGTGCGATTCGCCGCTGTAGTTGTTTGCTGTCATTGAATTTTGTTCCCACCAGAATATTATCTCCTGCGTCTTGGGGATGCCCAAAGCCCCCCATGCCCCCTGGGGCCCGTCCACGGCGGGATGTCTCTGGTGGGTATTTCCAGAGCCCACCAGGGCCCGTCCTCGCCGCGCGGCGGAAGATGTACCTTTGGCAGAGGGGCGCAGGCTAAGCGGGGCACCGATCCCGACCCCGAGCCCCTGGTGAAACGGTTGCACGGTTGCCGGGGACGCAACTCAGGGGGAACAGGGGCAACGGCCGCGGGGATCGCGCAGTCGCTGCGAGGCGGAGGGCGAATACTCGGCAGATGGCGCAAGGGCGCGTCTCGGGGCAACCCCGGAACCGCCGCGCGGCGGTGGGCATATCTTGGGCAGATGAGTCGCCACTGACAGGCGGCCACCCCTCTCGACCCCGACCCCACCGCCGCTACGAGGCCACGGCTCCCCTGGGAGGCAGCTAGAGGCAGCCAAAGGAAACCTCAATTCGATATACCCCTCACGCACGTCATGTCTCGGGCCCTCAACTGGCCCCTCGGATGGCCTAACTGAGCTTAAACTCGAAACCACCCTCGCCCAAGGTCATCAGCTAAACCCCAAGACCGCTCAACCCCCAAGGGATGATTGGTACCAAGCCCCTTCGAAGCCGCACCCCCGAACACCAACTGAATCCAAAATCTGCGTGCGAGTTTTCCCTGCGGAGACCCGCCGTGATTCCCGCTCTGCGGGCTCAATAAATTCAAATAAATGCCACAAGGAACAAGTAAATACACTTAAATGCGGAAGTCGCTCGCCGCAGAAATGCTACTACAGCAAATTAAACATATGCGAAGGCAAAGACCCAACTCGGGGCAACCCCGGAAACGTCGCGCCTTGACCCTCAGCCGAGGCCCCGCTGACAGAGGGGCCCGCGCCATTACGTCAGACGAGCAAAATCCGCCACTGTGCCTCGAGACACGAGTTCGGGGCTCCTCGATTGCTCCTTGACGGCCCCAGCGGCCCCCATGAGCGCCCGAAGATGACCAAAAAAACAAAACAACCGATATTGCTCCAACGGGACCCCAGGGCACCCCCAAAACGGCCCCATTGCGGCACCCGGAATGTCCCGAGAAGATCCGGGACCCCCAAGACATCCGAAGAGTCCCCCACGGCCCCCGGTGACACACCGCGAGCCCCAGCGGCCCCCATGAGCGCCCGAAGACGGCTCCAAATGGATGAGTATATATATATATACATATAACAAACGGAGCCCCAACGGAGCCCCAGGCCAACCACAAAACGGCCCCATTGCGCCACCCAGGATGCCCCGCGAAGATCTTGGACGCCCAACACATCCGAAGAGTCCCCCACGGCCCCCCGTGACACACCGTGACGCCCCCGCAGGAAGCCTCGTGCCCGCGACCCAGGCCGGCCAGGGGGCAGATTGGGCCGAAGGCTCTCGGGGATCCGCTTGGTCAGAGTGCTCTTACCGCAGCGGCGCGCCGATTCGACGCCCTGGGAAATAAACGCGTCGAGGAAGTGGAACGTGAAACACCGCGTATCCCTGAAAGCTGCCGCAGGCACGCGAATCTTCTCACTTTTCTCGGCCGAGATGAACTTCCTGAAGAGGAAATCGGACAGCTCGTCGCAACCAACCCAGTCGACCGGCGCATCGCCGTCGTAAACACTCCCCGCGAGCTTCGCAAGGTCATCCAGGACGTTGGCAAGCCTGCGCTTCCGCTTGCTGGCCACGAACGTCTTCGTCTGGATAGAGGCTGACATCCGGACGGCCAGCGCAGTCACGGACATCTTCTTCACGCGGTCTGTATTCGCCCACTCGGCCACAGCGAAAGCGTCGCTCACCAGAGCGCGCAGGACGTACTCGAGGTGCTCGTGGACGGCACCCACGGCCTCATCGGTGATTTTCAGCGGCGCGCCTTCTGCGTGGCCGGACCTCTTCGCCGACAACAGCGGCAGCAGGGCGCGGATGATCCGCGCCACTTTGGCGCGCGGGATCAGGAGTGGGGCGTCCGCCAACGGGTTCTCCTCCGTCTCCGCCTCCTCCGCCGCCGGCTCGGCGGGCAGGGCCGCCGACGCCGCGTCATCGACCGCCGCCTGGCGGTACCAGCGGATTAGGTGGTAGACAAGTGCAGGCTTCTTCTCCCGGATCACGTCCCGGCGCAACATGGCAGCCTGGCCGATTTGTCTCAGCGCCCCGATTGACATTGCGAGCAGCGTCGCGTGCATGCCCCGGAAGTCCACGACGCGGTCGAACAGCTTCTGCTTGTCGCCCAGCGCTGCCTCCACCACCTCGTTCCAGACGAGGCCTCCGCGCCGCGACAGGAAGGAGCTCGCCAGCCTCCACTTCGCCTGCTCTTCTTCCGCGCCGATGCCCTGGCCGACGAGCACGCGGCCCTGCCCCTGGAAGGTAGCGATATGGGAGGAGGGAACGACGATTTTGGAGCCCACTTGGGGGAACCACTTGGGCCCGCTTGGGGGAACCCCCGCCCGCGGACGAGGCCAGCGATTTTCCAGCCATGCCGCGTGAAGAAACCCAAAATCCCGTCTACCCTCTGGGCGCAGGTGGCCCAACCGCCCTCCCGCCTCCTGGCCCTCCGCGTCGTCCTGGGCGCCCGCGCGCTCGGGGGAAACCGCGCGCAGCACCGTGCCCCCTTGCGCGCCCTCCACCTCGCGCCGCCATTCGGTGCGGTTCTCTACGATGCCACCGAGGTGCAACACCAGCACTTCCGTGCACCCGCCGAACAGCCGGCCCCACGCCTCCGCACCTCGGTCGGGCAAGCACACGTCGGCCAAGTCGGCCACCTTGATCACCTCCTTGTTGACGATCTCGAACACCGCCTCCGGCCTGAACTTCTCGCGGCCGGCCCTCATCCTCACGCGGGTGACGTGCCGGTCCCGCCCACCCTGGAGGAACCGACGTCGCCAGTAATCGGCCTTCAACCCGCGGTACTCCTTAGTCTTGATGCCCTTCACTGCCATCTCCAAATACTGCGAATCTACTATCATATGCTGCGTCATTGCCCTCGCGGGCAGCCCCGCTGGCGGGCCGTCAGCAACTGGGGGGGGAATTGGGCTCGGGGCATCCCCGGCACCGTCTCCCCCCCGAACCACGGGCGGCAGGTCCGCCGATCTCGCGGGCGGGCCGTCAGCGGCTGGGGGGGGAATTGGGCTCGGGGCATCCCCGGCACCGTCTCCCCCCGTGACCACGGGCGGCAGGCCCGCCGATCTCGCGGGCGGGCCATCAGCGACTGGGGGGGGAATTGGGCTCGGGACATCCCCGGCACCGCCTCCCCCTCGGACCGCGGGCGGCGGGTCCGCCGATCTCGACAACGCAGCGCCATCGGGAGCCGCCATCGGGCGCGACTGCGGGGCTCTTGGCGAGGGCACCCCGGGCGCCAGGGCAGGCGCGCCACGGCCGTCGGCAGCGCCAGGTTGAGCGTCGGCGCCCAAGACTGAGACGAGCTCCTTGCCCGAAGTGCTCCGCAACGTCACCCAGCCGACTTTGTCTCCGATCCTCACGTGCACCCGCATCACCGGGCCCTCCATCCGAGGCACGGCGAGGCCCTCGAGACGGTCCCCCACTTGGAGGCGCTTCGCGACTTCCGAGGAGAGGTCTGGGGATTCGGACAGAATGGTAGCGACCACGCACTGCCATACCGTCTTTTCGCCACTCTCCCCCGCAACGTCGCCCTCTTCGGACGCCTGGGCCACGCCTCCCGCGCCCGCGGCACCAGCGCGGGCGGCGCCCTCGAGGGGCCTGGCCGCGCTGGCGGCGGCAGCGCCGACGCCCTGCTCCGCAGCGCCCCCTGCGCCCGCGGCGCCCTCGGTGCAACCGCCCGTGGCGACACCGGCCTTTCTCTCCTCCGCGAGCGCCAACCCTTCCGGCACATCTTGCCTGCACGCAGGGCAAATCAGGCCGAGCGCGCCCACCTTGGACCAACTTGAAACGAGGCAGTCGGAGCAGAACGAATGCCTGCAAGGTAGGTGGCGGCACGGGACATCCTCCATGCAAATCCTACAATTCGCGGGCGCCGGATCGCCGGGGTGTCCGCCCTTGCACCGCTCGAGCACGCTGTTGATATAGTCCATATCCCGGGCGCTGCGGGACACGCTCGCGTCCAGTCCGGACAGCAATTCGTAATCCTCAGGGACGATACGCCGATACTGCAGATCCTCGACGGCCTTCTTGTCATGATCTGAGAGCACCTCCATTAGCAGCTCGTAGTGGGCTGGGTAGCGTTGTCGAGTGCGGTACGCGCTTGCTAGGGCGCCCTGCGCTGCCCTTCGAGACATGATGACTGCGGACATGACGACAGCGGAGCTGGAAGCGGAACAACAGCAAGAGGAGGAGCAGGAATAGGAATAGGAGTCAACCAAGACGACTCGATCGTGCCACCAGGCTGGCCCCCAAGGCCCCGGGCCCTCGGGGGTGCACATGGCGCGCACCTGAAAGCGACTACCCCCCTCACCCCGGACCCTCCGCCGCAACATCGAGGGGCCGCCCCCCTCTACCCCGAGCCCCCCGCCGACGTGTTGGATGGCGACGGCGGAGATCATGCGCCGACGACGGGGCGGCGACGATGATGGTGACATTGATAGCCGACGCCGCTGGCGACCGCCTCTGTTCCCTCCCATGGCAAGGGCAATCCGCGCCACTCTTCCCCCCAGGTACAACACGGTGTCCTCGCCCCAAAAGCCGCCCCAGGAGAGCGCGATGCACGCACTTAAGCGCGGCATGCTTTAAACGCGGGTGACAGCAGAAAATGCATCTTCGCGCGCCCCGATCGCACGAAGCAGCACGGCTGATGCGTCGTTGGAGGGGAGGAAGCGAGGGAACTTCAATGAGTCGAGGAGGGGAGAAGTAGATTAGCAAGAGCCGCCGAAGCCGATTTCAGGGCAGACCAGATGATGCCCGCAGCTTAGCTGAGGTCACTGAAAGACTGGGCCGACACAGCCGATCGCGGGGCAACCCCGGCCACCGACCTATACGCTCTTTGCAAGCCGGTGTCCCCAATCACCAGCGCGACGAGAATGCAGTCTGCGCTGGGAGAGAAGCGTAGCAGTCACCTGACGACCCCTCTCGGCGCGCGAATTTGCCGCCCCCATCACTCGAATTCGCTCGTGCTCACCCGCAGGCGCTTCCGTTCCTCCGTGGCATCTGCGTCCGCAACGATCTCCTCGAGCTTCCGCTTCTTGAACATGCCCTTGCCCTTGGGGTTGCCCTTGCGCTTGCCTCGTGGGCTCGCTGAACGACCATCGAAAGCCCGGGCACTCCGGTCTGAATGAGACCTGGATTTCCCACTGCGAAACCAAAAGAATCTCGGGGGCAACGCAGGGAACTATCCACTGATTCCAGGGAAACTGCCGACGATTGATGCCTGGGCCCCACTGGCCCGGAGTGACGGGGGAGAGCGACGGGAGCCCCTGGACGCGGCAGTGCCAACTCGCTAGACCACGACGCTCCAGGCCCCAGCCGCCTTGCGCCGCCTTGGCCCTCTGCGTGGAGCCCCCCGCATCGGCGGAGTCCGCGACCCTGTCCAGGAGATTAGCCGCGACCAGCGCTGTCAAGCCGTCGGAGATCTTCTTTGCCAGGTCCGTTCTGAACCACGTGTCCCTCTTATTCCTGAGCCACTGCCTCGCATCCGCCTCCGTGAAAATCTGCCCCTTGGGAGCGCGAGTGAGCAGGAACTGCCGCATCAGCTCGGACGGCATGAGGGCCCTCATCGCTATCTCCGCGACGTCAGGAGCGGCCAGCACGGCCGCCGAAGATCCGCCTGCGCACCTGCCGTCGCCGCCGGAGCGATGGTTGCCCTCGGCAGCGTGGGCGACGTGGAAGCGACACAACCCAAAGTGAAGTTCAATTTGGCGGAGAACCTTGTGGAGCCCCATCGTGATTTCGTTCACACTGGGAAGACAACGTTCGCAAGCAGAATCAGAAGGCGGTTGCGACGCCAGGGCGTCGTCGCCCTGGGCAGCATGCCGGGCGATGAAAAGCCTGGCGAAATGGCTCCCGCGGTGCACCCGGTGCGTTGCGCGAAGCAAGTCGCTGTGAAAGAAATTCAACTTCGTCTTGAATGCCGGCGGCATTGGCACGGTCTGACAGATATCATCAAAAGCCTGCTTCGCAGCACGGCACATGGTGTAGGCGAAGCCGTCGAGCGAGAGAACGCTGGCGACATCAGAACAATGCTCATGCATCCACCCGTGCAGACGCTCGATGAAGGAGTCGCTCTGTTCGGAATCGACCCCGTCGTCCGCGCGCACGTCCTGGAGGGCCCCGCAGGAGCCGCTTCACATAGGAACAACATCGATCCGAAGAGGGCCGGTCTCCCCCAAAACGCCAGGGGAGCCCTCGAGCTCCAAGCCACTCGAGAACAGCCCCGAGAATGGGACACGACCAGGACGGGACCAAAGGAAAAGATTGGGAGGGGCCAGAACCTGTGGGCTCGGGGAGCGAGGCCAAGAGACACGCGGCGGAAAATCGCAACAAAGCTCGGGATGGCGAAATATGATGGGCCCAGGGTTGACCCGCTGTCGTGGAGAACCCACACCGTCTGCATGCGCTTCTGGAACCCGTGCACTTTCGGCATGACGATAAACTCGACGACCTCTGTCTGGCCCGCGCACTTGAGCATGAAATTGTAATTGTCCAAAGACACCTTGCCGTTGCCAGTCGCCGGTCCGTCGTGCTCGCTCTGCGTCCACGTGTTAAGCTTCGCGCAGCTGAGATAGTGCACCCCGGACTCCACGTCGCTGAAGGGCGTCTGGAACGTGTTTGCGGCCTCGTCGCTGGAGATGCCGCACCGGCCGTGTTCTTCAAGCTGCTTCCGAATGCCCTTCGTGGTGCAGTCCGTGTTCATGACCAACTTGTCTATGAAAACAGGGGAGGCCTCCGGGACCTGCGTCAACCACTTGTCCGTGCGCTGCATCAAGGCCGACTTCCGCGTGGAGGACGCGCTGCCGATCAAGAGGGGCTGGCCAGGGGAAATGTAATGACCTGACTGCCGCAAGTGCGTCAGCTTTGTTCCGGGCGCCTCGATGAAACCCATGTTGCACTCCACGGCAGAGAGCAGCGCCTCCGCAGAGAGACCCCGGGCCTTTGCTGCGGTGTGCACGGCGTCCGCCAACAGCTTCGGCGCGATGGTGCGCAAATCGAAATCCAGCTCGCTGGCAATCTGGCGGTGAGACCGGGTGTCCTCCCACGCCTTCATGACCCTCTGGCGCACCGTCTCGTAAACCTCCTCCTTCGTCTTAAAACCCTCGAAGACGATGTCAAGAAACAGGAACTCTTCGATCGCGTTCGATGCCTCGTCCTCTGGGAGCCCTTCGACTTTGGCCTGCAATGCGGCGACGCTCTCGCCCGTGGGGTCCGGGACGCGAAGACTGGCACTCGCTGCAAAGGAGTCCTCAAACCGCGCACCATTCCTGAAGGAGGTGAACTGTGTGCTCGGCAGAGAGACCTGAGTCGCAGGTGACGCTTGCTCCGCGGGAATGGGCGACTCAGGCGGGGGCTGAGAGTCGGGCTCGGGGCTCTTCCGAGGCGTCGCAGGGGGGCGCAACCCCGCGAGCGGGCCGTCAGCGATTGGGACTGGACCGGCTGGTGAGCTCGAGGGAGGAAGTGGGCTCGGGGCAGCCCCGGCACCACCTCCCCCCGGGGCCGCGGACACGCCGCTCGGCGCGAGCATGAGCACGCCCCGGAAATGCAGGAGGACGAGAAGCGCGTGGAAGTAGCAGTCGCCCCCGTCACGGACGCGCGACTCCAGCGCGAGATCACCACTGCGAGCGGCGACGGCCGCCACCATGTCGGCCCATTTCGGTGACGAGCACGGGGGCAACAGGCGGTACTCGTCGACATGGAGCAGCGGCAAGAAGTGGCACCCATCCTCCGCGGACCCGTACCCGTTGTCCAGCCCACCATGGACAATGACAGCGTCCTCCTTGGGGTCGGGAACGATGAAATCTGCGTCGCGGAAATGGGCAGCACAGACGGCGATGACTTCAGATGGCAACGGCCGAGAGCCGGGGGCCAAGCGAGTCTGGAGAACAACCTTTATATCACCCCACGCCGAGGAATCGCCCCACACGACAGCACGACGTGCCATGGCAGAAGTGATCTCGGTGAAGCGAAGTGTCTCATCGCCGCGGGCGTCGGCGAGGCACGCCCGTAGAGCGGCGATGCCCTGCTCCTGCGCCAACCCGCACAGGGCGACCTCGCGAAACATTGCGGTGGAGTCCATCTGCAACTTTCGAATCTCCTACCCGACAGGACCCCCAGCGCGCAACTCTCGAACCCAACGCTACCGCGCAGCTGAGTTGAGGCGCACAGCCGCCGCGCGGCACTCGAAGGGGCCACCCCTCTCCACACCAAGCCCCAACGGGCCCTGTCCGCAGCGGGGGGTGTCCCATGGAGCATCTGGCCCCGATTCCCCACGGGAGACCATCCGCCGCAGACAGAGCTCACGGGGAGCCCCCCGACGGACCCTGTCCGCGGCGGGGGGTCTCCAATGGAGAATCTGGCCCCGATTCCCCACGGGAAACCATCCGCCGCGGACGAGGCCCGACACCATGTCAAACGGGACCTCCCAGGGCGGGTTTTCGAAGCCCCGACACCATGCCAAACGGGACCTCCCGGGACCATCACTACCCAAAACTGCAAAAAAAATAGAAATCATTAAAATATTGCCAAAATCACAAAAAAAAACACGGAAAATCACTAAAATATACCCAAAATCACCGCCCAGGGGCCGTATACCGCCCGACGGACCCTGTCCGCGGCGGGGGGTCTCCCGTGGAGAATCTGGCCCCGATTCCCCACGGGAGACCATCCGCCGCGGACGGGGCCCGACACCATGCCAAACGGGACCTCCCGGGGCGGTTTTTCGAAGCCCCGACACCATGCCAAACGGGACCTCCCGGGGCGGGTTTTCGAAGGGGCCCGACACCATGTCAAATCCAAGGCCCGACACCATGCCAAACGGGACCTCCCGGAACCATCACTGCCCAAAACTTCAAAAAAACAATAGAAATTATTAAAATATTGCCAAAATCAAAAAAAAAACAACAAAAAAAAAAAACACGGAAAATCACAAACATATACCCAAAATCACCGCCCAGGGGCCGTATATCCGCCCGACGGACCCTGTCCGCGGCGGGGGGTCTCCCGTGGAGAATCTGGCCCCGATTCCCCACGGGAGACCATCCGCCGCGGACGGGGCCCGACACCATGCCAAACGGGACCTCCCGGGGCGGGTTTTCGAAGCCCCGACACCATGCCAAACGGGACCTCCCGGGGCGGGTTTTCGAAGGGGCCCGACACCATGTCAAATCCAAGGCCCGACACCATGCCAAACGGGACCTCCCGGGACCATCATCACCCAAAACTGCAAAAAAACACTAGAAATCATTGAAATATTGCCAAAATCACAAAAAAAGCGGAAAATCATTAAAATATACCCAGAAATCACCGCCCAGGGGCCGTATACCGCCCGACGGACTCTGTCCGCGGCGGGGGGTCTCCCGTGGAGAATCTGGCCCCGATTCCCCACGGGAGACCATCCGCCGCGGACGGGGACCAACACCATGTCAAACGGAACCTCCCGGGGCGGGTTTTCGAAGCCCCGACACCATGCCAAACGGGACCTCCCGGGACCATTACTGCCCAAAACTGCAAAAAAACACTAGAAATCATTAAAATATACCAAAATCACAAAAAAAAAAAAAAAAAAAACTGAAAATCACTAAAATATACCGGGGAGCGCCCGCAAGCGGGCGACACATTTCACCCCGCCCGCCGGAGGGCGCAACCGCAACCGCAACCGCAACCGCAACCGCAAAATCATTAAAATATCCCCCAAATCCTAAACCTAAACCTAAACCTAAACCTAAACCTGAACCTAAACCTAAACCTAAACCTAAACCTAAACCTGAACCTAAACCTAAACCTAAACCTAAACCTAAATCTAAACCTAAACCTAAACCTAAACCTGAACCTAAACCTGAACCTGAACCTAACCTAACCTGAACCTGAAACCTGAACCTGAACCTGAACCTGAACCTGAACCTGAACCTGAACCTGAACCTAAACCTAAACCTAAACCTAAACCTAAACCTAAACCTAAAAACCTAAACCTAAACCTGAACCTGAACCTGAACCTGAACCTGAACCTGAACCTGAACCTGAACCTGAACCTGAACCTGAACCTGAACCTGAACCTCAACCTAAACCTGAACGTGAACCTAAACCTAAACCTAAACCTAAACCTAAACCTAAACCTGAACCTAAACCTAAACCTAAACCTAAATCTAAACCTAAACGTAAACCTGAACCTAAACCTGAACCTGAACCTGAACCTGAACCTGAACCTGAACCTGAACCTGAACCTAAACCTAAACCTAAACCTAAACCTAAACCTAAACCTAAACCTAAACCTAAACCTGAACCTGAACCTGAACCTGAACCTGAACCTGAACCTGAACCTGAACCTAAACCTAAACCTAAACCTAAACCTAAACCTAAACCTAAACCTAAACCTAAACCTGAACCTGAACCTGAACCTGAACCTGAACCTGAACCTGAACCTGAACCTAAACCTAAACCTAAACCTAAACCTAAACCTAAACCTAAA